ATGATACATATAGCGCTCGAACGGATACATCCATCTGAACTGAACAGGACCACCCAGTTGTGCCTCATGAGGAAGATGAATTGTCAAATGCTCCATCACATCAAAAAAAGAAGGTGGAAATATTTTTTCCAAATTACACATAATAACAACAATGTTATTTTTCATAATTTCCACCAAATCTTTTTCTAAAGTCCGTGTACATAGATCACGAAAGAACAAGCTTATACCTGTCAAAATAAAAATTAAGTAATATAAAAAAACCTATAATAAAAATTCAACATAATTGGCCTTGATTTTTCTTTTTTAAGGAAATCATTAAAAAGAGACAAGCAACATACCCGACAATGCTTGATGGATATTGTTTGGTAGCAATTCAGCGAAAGCAATCGGAAGGAGTCTTTGCATAAATACATGACAATCATGACTTTTCATTTTTGAGAGTTTTACTCCATCAGAAGAAGAAATACTTGAAGCATAACCGTCTGAAAATTTGACTTCATCTTTTAACCAATCAAAAAGACATTTCTTTTCCTCCAAAGATAACCTAAACAATGGAAGTGGAGCTTTTCCATCATCAGTCATATGTAGATCTTTCCGGTTGCAAATCTCTGCCAAGTCAATACGGGAATTAAGATTGTCTTTCGTTTTTCCTGGAACATTCAACAACGTGTTAATGATATTTTCAAAAACGTTTTTTTCGATATGCATCACATCAAGATTATGGCGAATGAGAAGATATTTCCAATAAGGTAACTCCCAAAATATGCTTTGCTTGTGCCAATTATGGGTTTCACCATATCCCACTATTTTTGGAAGTCCTTCTCCTCCACAATCAACTGTTCTTGGTAAACCAGATACATGATCACTCCACAATTCCTCCCCCGAATATACTGCTGGTGGGTCTGAATTCTCCATTTTTTTTTTTTTGAAGTTCTTCTTGTTACGTCGTAAAGTATGATCTTTTGGAAGAAAACGACGGTGGCAATCAAACCAACATGTTTTTCTCCCATGTTTCAACCAAAAAGCTCCAGTCTCATCCATACAATAAGGACATGCTAAACGACCATGAGTAGTCCACCCAGATAACATAGCATATGCTGGAAAATCACTAATTGTCCATAAAAGCATAGCTCGTAACGTAAAATTTTGCTTCATTGATACATCATAAGACTCAAATCCATCAGTCCATAAGCATTTCAATTCATCTATAAGAGGTTGTAGAAATACGTCTAAGCTCATTTTTGGATGGTTTGGACCAGGAATCAATATCGAGAGGAATAAAAATTCTCGCTTCATGCACATATCAGGTGGTAGGTTATACGGAGTCAATATAACAGGCCATAACGAATAATTTTGACCAAAAATTCCAAAAGGATTAAATCCATCAGTGCATAAACCAATATAAACATTTCTAGGCTCATTCGCAAATTCAGGAAATACCTGGTTGAAATGTTTCCATGCTTCACCATCTGAAGGATGACACATTACGTCACTACCGTGGGTTGAATAATGTTCTTTGTGCCATCTCATTTGTGAAGCTGTTTTCTTTGATTGGTATAATCTTTTCAGTCGGTCAGCAATGGGCAAATAAAACATTCGCTGAAATGGAACTTGCTTTCTTCCTGGTTTTTTGCACTTTTGTATCTATTAGATCCACAAAATCTACAGCTTTCTCGGTCTGCATCGTTTTTCCAGAAAATCATACAATTCTTCTGACACACATCGATCTTAATGTAAGGCAAACCTAGAGATCTCATTAATTTCTTCGTGTCGTAGTACGAGGTACTGGCATTGTTATCTTCAGGAATGTAGTCTTTCATCATCTGAGCAATGGAATCCATGCATTTCTCTGATAAATTATAATCAGTTTCAGAGTCATTAACCTAGACGCCAATGAAAATTGTGAAAGTCCTTCTCGACATCCACCATATATTGGATGCTGGCTTGCGTTTAACAGATTGAAAAACTTTTTGGCTTCTTCGTTGGGCTCTTCTTCCATATTCTGATTAGATGACGTACGTCCATTAAAAGCATCGGTAACCATCTCGAGATAGTTGTTTTGAACATATGTAGAAAAATCTCTGAACATACTTGTATTTTCATCGATAGGACATGGTTGTTGTATTTTCATCGATAGGACATGGTTGTTTATCAGCCTCATAGTCTTCTCCATGAGCAACCCAAACAAAATAGTTGGCCATAAACCCTCGGTTATATAAGTGGCCAGCTACCATCTCCTCAGACAAGGCGTGTTTATTCTCACACTTAATGCATGGACAAAACATTATCTTCTTCTGAATATATAAGGCATGTCTTTTAGCAACAATCATGAACTCTTTCAATCCATCTAGGAATGCATCGGAGACTAGATTGGTTGTTGGATCCGTTCTTGCATACATCCATTGCCTCAAAACATTATCGTTGTTACTCGAAGACATTTAAGAAGTCAAGAAATTCTGCAAACAAAAAATATAATTAAATAAAAACACAAAGCTTAAAAGCTATATATAAACGTAAAGTGAAAACATAAAAACTAATATTTGATTATGTTAG